TTTTTAAATGTTTGGTTTTCAAGTTTTTATGCTGAGGGCCGGAGCCCCTGCCTAGCCCTGGCCCTCTGCTCGCCGCTCGCTGCGTCCCAAATACCCCGGCGCTCCCCCGAGAGGCGTTTTCCAGTTCGGTTTTTAGCCCCGTGGCTGTGTCGAGGTTTTTACTGCCCATCTCCGGTGAGGCCTCACCGGTGCTCCCTGGCAGTGGCTGCCCTGGGCCAGAGGGCAGACGGCTCGAGCCCAAGGAGCTCCTGGGTTTCCACATCAACACCGGGAACCAGAGTCAGGCAGCAGGTCGGCTCCCGCCTGCTTTGTGCTGTTCGTGCACCTCTCGTTCCCATTCTGGCTTAGCAGCACGGTCAGCCCAGAGAAGCTGGCAAATCACAACACCTCCACCCGCCGTGCCACCCGGAGAAGCGTGCCCCCTGCTTGCGGGGGTACCAGACTGTCACACTGGATGGCCGCAGAGCTGTGGCATCAGCAGTGGCTCCTTGGCGGGGCCGAGTGCCTCCAGCCCTGCTCCTCTTCCCCCTGGAGCAGCACAAACATAACCCCCTCCTTGCAGGCTGTGGGTGGGTGCCCTTGCCCGTTTCCTGCCCCTGCTGCCCTTCCCCGAGTGCCTGAGTTCAGAGGTCAGTTTGTACCTAGTAGTGGTGCTGGACCCTCTCGGCAGGGGGAGACTGGCCTGCCCGATAGCTGAGAGCTCCTCTGTTCAGTCTTTCTGTAACCCTGGTCCTTGCCTCGGCTGTTCGGTGCCTGTTCTTGAAAAGAGCCTTACTCCTCTCCCTTCCTCTTCCTCGGAGCTGTTGGGCTTGTCCTGCCTCCCCCACCTCCACTGCCACTAGCATAAACAGTATCCTGTGTGCTGTGCTTGAGCCGTGGCTCCTCTTCTCCAGCTCCTCCTAGCCCTCGCCTGGTCCCAGGGCAGGGGCTGAAGGTCACCGAGAGCTGCTGCACCTGTATAATCAAGAGGTACCAGGCTTGGGAACAGCCAGAGACCCTCTAGAGCCAGAACTTGGTGCAGAGCTGGGGAAGGGTGCTGCTCCCAGCAGAGTTTAGGCACATGACAGCTAGACGGAGCCTGTCCATCAGTCGTATGCCCCGCTAACACCCAGCTGCCTGTCTCCACAGCTATGGTAGTGTCTGTGCTATGCTTCCAGGGCCTCTTCTCCCACCAGCAAGGCCCAAGTCTCCTCCTTGGCTTATGTCATTATTATTTAGGCCACACAGCAGGGGAACAAGGCGGATGAGCTGGGCAGGGGAGCTGCCCCCCTCTGCAGCAGGCTGGGACATTGGAAGTAGCTGGTACAAGAGCCCGCACCGTCATTCTGGTTCTGTTGGCATTGGGTGCGGGTCTGTTAACGATAACGAGATGTTCAAAAGTAACAATGGGAGCGAGGGCATGTAGTTTGTGCTGCAGGCCCTGGGCAGGATGCACGGCTTCTCAAGGGCAGATGCTTCTGCATGGAGCAGTTTACAAACAACAGACTTGCTTGCTGGCTTTGGGAGCAGGTGTTGCCACCGTTTGGCACAGACAGAAGCCCGTTCCTGATGGAAACAACTTTGGTGTGGCTGAGACAGCAGTAAGGGCACTGCCTGGATGTCCCCACCACCCCTGCCTCAGACCTGGGGGTGGGTGGGGTGAGGAAGGGATCTCAGCAAATACCAAAGTGCAACTTTTTCTCTCCTGTATGTTGATAGTGGATTTTTTTCTGCAATAAAAGTTACAACTGCCAAAGGCGCTCCCCGGTGTCCTCATCAGAGCTGCGCACCAGACACGTGATGGATAAACGGCCTCTTGCTTACAGCGAGGCAAACTACAAACATCAACCCTAGCTGAACCCAAATGCTTTTACCCAGAGAGATGGGGGAATCTCCATCCTTGGAGGTGTTTTAAGCCCCAGGTAGACAAAGCCCTGGCTGGGATGATGCAGTTGGGGCTGGTCCTGCTTGGAGCAGGGGGCTGGACTAGATGAGACTCCGGAGCTCCCTTCTAACTTTCATTTTCTAGGATTCCTTGCTGCAAACTGACAGGCAAAGGAGTGAGGCAGAGCGTAATAAGAGAGAACTTGCAAGGTGCGCAAGGCAGACACAGGTACCCAAGTGCTCTGCATGCCTCCGAAAAACCCAGACGCACCTGCTTTGTAGCAAGGAAGAATTTTAATGGGAGACAAAGGGTATGGCCTTGCACGCTGCCCTCCTCACAGGGCTGCACAGTTATTTTCTACCTGGCCATTCAGGAGCCTCTGCCTCTCTTGTACTGGCCAGAGGCTTTGACTGCTTGGTAAAGGTAATAATCCCCTGCCCTGCCCGTGCATCTGTATGCAAAACGCTGATGACTTGGCTTAGCTCGGTAAGCCAGGAGCTCTAAGCTGCACCTGTCCGTTTGCTCCAGGACAGCACAAGTGCTGGCTCACACGCTGGAACTGCTTCCCCCACCAAAGTCCTGCGATGCCTGGGTCACTCCTGGGGCAGGGGCTGCTGTGGTTAGGACACTGCCCTGGCGTCAGGCTGAACTGGAAAGCCCTCCCTGGGGTTCTCTAACACCATTTCTCATCCGTGGCCTCAGGTGCGCTCGCAACTCTCAGCTTGGTTTAACTGATCCCAGGGGAAGCCGTAATTCTCTGCACTTCTTCTTAGACCGTGAAAAGCACTTCTTTTTGGGAAAACTCTGGGATGAAGTAGGGCTGAGCTGCCTCCACTCTGCGCCTCCTCTGCTTTCGCAGTATGGGACAGATGTGGGTGCCATCTGCAGGGTTATGGGACTCGATTGCTGCTGGGCTGATGGATGCCCTTTCAAAGCTGCCTGGAAGTCACCGCGTAGAGCCGTCCTGCGAGGAATGGCGGGCTAGGTTTCCAGGGCACAAGCATTCGCATCGCTTTTCTCAGGTGCTCTGCGTGGGTGTAGAGAGAAACACAAGTGAGACAGGACTGAGCAGGTGGAGTCTCTAGGACAGGCCGGTGCGGGGCTGTAATTATACGCTGGGTATGTCATGTGCCAGGGAGGCATCCTTTAAACTCTGCTTGGCAGCTGTGCTTCAGGTTGACGATTATCCTGATTTTATTCATCTCTGACCATAGGCCCAAAGGATAATACTGAACTAGCCTGGTGGCTTGGGACCAGTCTGTGCTGGGAGGCTCTGATAAACCAGTGGTTTTCACCTGACTAGTACTGAGCTGTGGGGCCTCCTGCTCCAGCATCCCCCACTCCGAGCACCCGAGTGAAAAGAAAACCACCCTCAAGTACCCATAGTGCCAGGGCTGCATTTACCGTGGAGCAGTTACACACCCCAGCTAGACAAAACTTTCCAATAACTGTTTGTGAGCAACACATGCAGGCTGAACTACTTGACTCTGAGGCTTAAATCTTTGGGGAAAAGGCTCCTGCTCTGGATCCAAGAGGTAAATTTGAGGCTATGTCCAGAGCTTTTGGTGACGGCTCACTGCTGCAAGGACCTGCAGAGGATGTTCCCAGTCCTAAAAAAGAGATCCTCCGCTGCAGAGGATCGTGCCCAATGCGACTTGAGCCCGAGGTAACAGCTGCCGCAAACACGAGGGCTACACGGCTGGAATAAACGGGTGCTACAAATGCACCACGCGCTTTGCGCTCCAGAGCCCGTCCTTTGCCTGAACTCGGTCCTGGCTTATGCAAGGGTTTGCCTCAATTACAGACATCAGCAACCAGCCGCCCTTGAAACCAGGCCAAACAACAAGGGGCAAATAGCTCGGGTTGGTTACATCAGCTGCGCTGATGGTTGGAAGCAAGGCAAATCCACAGAGCCTCAGCCCTCCAAAAAGATACTGTCACCGAAGCAGTAACCACAGACTAAGTGCCAGAGGCGGCAGCAGGGAAACTTGCCTCCAGCTCCTGTTTGCAGCCCAGCTCTGATGTGTGCAAGAAACCACACCAGCAGGAGGTGGGGGGGAATCTGCCTTGGTGACCCACCAAGCTCTGGGCCTGCCTGCCAGGCATCTAGCCAGCTTCTGGTGCCGCGACTCTCCTGGGATGAGCCATGGAGAGGTCTTCTGGGCTCAATTTCCCCCATGTGGCCAAGCAAAAAGCTTTTGATGGTGCTAAAGCAGGCATGAAGCCAATTCATGCATGTCCTTTGAACACAGCTCAAGCCTTTGATGGCCTCCTCGCGTTCAGTCTTTATGCTTTCCAACCTTGGATTTAATTATACTTCATTAGCGAGGGACAAGAACTCAATCAGATCAGTTTCATTTGAAGCCAAGTGGATAGGAAAGAAGCCTAGATAAAAGAATACGATTGCTGAGACCCCCACGGCCACCCCCGCTGCCCTCTGAGGACTCGTCGTGTGCAGGAAAGGGGAAGCAGCAGAAGACTGAATTGTCCCAAGATGCTTCTCCCAAAGGGCAGGTCCCTGTACCTCCAAGGAGCAGGGAAAACCTGTGCTGGATGCCAACGCTCTGCATGCTGGGCTGTCCGTCGCAGAGTCTGGCTGCAGTGTAGCTGGGACAATGTGCTATGATGCAGTGGAGGAGCCTGTGAATGAGACGGTAGACAGACTTTCACCTTCCCTTGCTACCTTTTCCTAGATCCTATAGAAATGCAGGTTCAAGAGCAACATTTTTTTTAGCCCAGCTCTCACCCAGAGTGTGCCGGGGGGCTTCCCACGGGAGTGACCCAACTGATCATCACTTGCAGTTGTAGGGAATGAGAGGGTCTTCTTCCTTCCACCTTGCCAGAGAGAGCAGGAGGAGAAAGGAGGTGCTTTTCAAACCTGTGATGATACTGATGTCACTGCAAGCAACCAGCTGCCAAAGCTCGAGGCTGGCTTGGAGAAGTCTGGGCTCCAGCCAGTACTGGCGCCAGGCGCCGGGCTGGCCAGCCTGAGCCAGCAATTCCAGATTAGTGTGGACGGATTTGTTCCGACCCGGAGAATCCTGCAAGCTGGTTTTCATACCAGACCTGCCCTTGTGTCCTACATTTAGGTGAGCCGCCTGTCCTTGCTGCCAAAGGAGGGAATGCCAGCTCTCGGCTCTGCAGCAAGAAAACGCCAACCACCCAAGGCGCAACTTCGGAATAATCGGAGCCGAGCAAAGCCCTCGGCCCTGTCCACATCGTCCTACTGGACTGCGAATCAGGCCTCCTCTGTACAGGTTGATGTGGCAACTTTAAGAGGCCCTTATCAGCCATAACCATGGTTAAAATCTCTATGGGGGAGTCTAGCTCTGAGCTGCCCATAAGCAGCATTGCTGTCCAGGATCCAGTCTCTTCCTGGACTCGTGCATTTTAAACCATGTCCTAGGCCTGTAGTTCCCAAACCTTCAGGCCCCACAGACTCGCTGCCAACCCTCAGAAGTTTCCTGTGGACCAGCTGCAGCTTTAGCACCAAAGAGTTTCATTGACAATGCTGTAAAGACGCACAGACCTCCTGTGATTTATGGACCATGGATCACAACCTCAGGGCCACTAGTGGCCTGAGACCACAACTGGCTTGCATGACCCTGGCCCATCGGGGACTCCCTGTTTTGTGTCTAAGAGATGTGTTTGGGTAGAAAGCATCAAATGCTGCTTTGCCTCCAACATGCGAAGAGCTAGCTTAACGTTTAGCCTTGCTTCACACGCAGTGATTTTCTCTCAAGGGGCAAAGGAGCCCGGAAGCCTCCCAAGCCCAGAGAGGTAACAACAGAATGGCAGTACCAATAGTTGGGAGGAGACGGACCGAAACCCTGGCTTCTGCTGCCCAGCTCCCTCTGCACTCATGGGCCGATCCAGACCCATGCCCATGGTGCCAATGAAGGAAGAGGTAAATAAGTTGCCCAATGCATCCCAGCAGCCTAAACAGGTCTCCGTGTTACAGTCTGCTCGGGATTAAAACGCTCCTGCTGCAGCACCCACTTGCCAACACTCTTTGAACTATAATGGAACATCTGTTGAGTTAATCTCCTGCAGGGTAATTCCTCCCCCTGCATTTTAATCCTCTCCCCTTCTGAAGTGCTTTTACTCTGAAATTAGACACGCTGGTTGTGTTGCCACAGATGATTCTGGCAAGCACGGAAGTGTTCCCGTTAGCACAGGCCTTTCCCGGGAGCTGCAGGAAGGGAGAGGAGCAGCGTCAGCCCTCTTTGGCATGTGCTTAAAGCTCACTGTTGTGTCAGAATCGCAGGCTAAATTACAGGCCTCGTCTGGAACAAGACGAGGCTCGCGGGCTCTGAACACGTCCCAGTCGGATTGAGGCTGTTAGTGCGACTGACTCAGCGAGGAGGGTTTTGCTGTGGGCAGCAGCAACCAAACTAAATTAGTGCCACTGCCCCATTGCTGGAACATGGGGGAGTCAGTCAGCTGATCTGTGCCTCGGTTTCCCTACCTGGTAGACAAGGATAAAAGATCTCGACCACCTTTGCAAAGCACACCGAGCCGTACAATCGAAACACCACGCCCACGTACAACCTTGTTTGCGTCCGTCTGGCGGCAGGGGAGTCAGGTGTCCTTCAAGAGACGGCAGGGAGTTTTAAAGGGAAACCACCTCGTACAATGTTCACACAGCCCCACTGAAACATCTGAACCCTGATAGACAATGTAGTTTTATTCCCTAGTATCTTGTTTAGCTTTAGTTTCTGGCATCCAAGATCACCAAACACAGCGCCAGGCTCCAGTCTAGGCACATCCAAGCCTCCCCGCCCAAGGGCAGGCAGGCTCCGGTAGCTCCTATTCACTACCCCTCGGCCAGAGCA